TTCTCTCTCTCTTTCTCTCTCTTTCTTTCTCTCTCTCTTTCTTTCTCTCTCTCTCTTTCTTTCTCTCTCTCTCTCTTTATAATCACACTCACATACAAATGCCAACACAGGCTCTCACGGACACGGACACGCTATCTCTCTCTCCCCCCCCCCACACACTCTCTGTCACACGCACACACTCATACATATTCATGCACACGTATTTCTGCGCTTCACCCTTATCCAGCCAGCCACCCATTGACCGGCATCCCCATGCACCTCAAACCATCATAGATATACATTAATTTACGCAACTGCACACACTGACTTTCACTCACCCACTTTTATTACATGCCCCCACCCTCATCTATCCATCCACCCACAACACCCCCGCCTCCTCCCGCACACACTCAAATTCCCGTACGTATACAGCCTCAGCCAACCATACATCTATTCGTACATACACTCATAAACACGTACCGACACTCCCAATACTTCACTCACGCACACCTATACATCCACACTCCAAAAGATCCACTACACAGACACACACACACACAAACGTCTTATGGTAAAACTATAAACTGTACCGAAAATAATGAAATTATACCTCACAATTAAAATTTTGTGTAAATCAAGTACGAGCGACCTAGTTTGGCAAGTCAGAATGTAACGACAAATAGTTTAGATAAAATTCAGATCTGTGAAACAAAATTAATATAAGAGTGTAAAAACGAGATAATTATTGAAAAAAGAGAGCTATATAAAGCAATACTATTCTTACCGTTTCTTCCATTTTATCGCTAGAGTTTAATTAACTAGTGTTAATGGAAACTTTTTAAATGCCTATCCATTATGCATGCGTTATTACATTTTGTACTGGAGCATGCCGTTAGCAAAAGAGGCTGCAGTCCGAAAGATTACCCATATCCTTACCTTTGTAAATTTGATACACCTACTAGAAAGTTGGGTTGGAGATTCGGTAACTGTGCCCTTATCGAGTGTGTTCTAGAGCATGGACATACATTTTTGAATCATGTAATTAGAATCAGAATCAAAATCACCTTTGCCGCTACTGTGATCCACTTACTCAGTAACCTACTATACTAGGGAGAATACATTTAGGCTACACACGCTCGCTGTACTCGTCTTTACTTCTTTAACCGATGTCGTCTTTTTTCTGTACACTGGTAGCAATCGGCCAACTTTCACGTCTTCGTCTTGGGACGGTAAAGGCGGCCATAGCTTCGTAGTGACAGAGTGAGAACAGCAGTTCAGGGAAGCAACCCGCTTACAGGCGGGCAGACAGAGAAACAGTGAGGCAGGCAGACTGAAAGAGAGAGGGAGTGGGGATACTTAGTCCTTTCATTTCTAATAGATTAATGATTATTACTATTTGATAAATTGTTCAAATTTCGTTCGATTTAAACTAGTGCAATGAAGAAATAGAAATAAAAGGAGTTTGTTTTTACCAACATTATTATTCATAAGATGTGCAGCGTTCGATAGCGTTGAGCATAATGTTCTGATCTTGCAGTTTGCATGTCTTGCAGTTTGAGTAATGGCTGCAAAAGAGAGAGCACCAAGTTGCTGCAAAAATACTGGTTTGCTGTGCGTGTCTGTTTGCGAACTCTGCAATGGCGTCTCCTGCACTAATGCGTCGGTTACTACACACATCGATGAAGAAAATGCAGAAATAAAGATAAGAACAGCGTCAACAGAAAATGCTGATGACAGAAGTATATCTTTTTGAAAACCTGAAACGTAGTGAATAATTTAATAGCATAGAATAACATGACAGCAACTCACGAAAGACGAGTTTTCAGGTTCAGTTTCTAACTCTCCGAAATTGTGAATATTTTTATTAAATTGTCTTTTGTTTTGAACTTCATCTTAACCCTTTATTGGCTGACCCCTCCTAGACGGACGCGGTTGGTCGTCGCACTTGCATGCTGTTAAAAAAAAATTATATTAAATTTTACAATGAAAATATATTTATTATTTTCAAAACAATACAGAATCATTACAAAACTTAATATTAATTATAAACAATTACCTTATATAAACAATTGAAAACATCACAAACTGAATATTTAATCTGTTAATTTTCCCCGCGTTAAATGTTTCATTTAAATCTAGAATTCATTATTCATTATCTCCTATTGATATTACATCTATTTATCTCCCGATCTCCTTTCTCTCTATTTTGGTAAATTATGTTCAATCATCTTTCCCATAAGACTTTGATTTTAATTTTTATTTATTTTGGTTCTCAATTTATTTAAATAAATTGTTTATTTAAATAAATTGTTCCAGATATGAAGTTAAAGGCTGATCCATCAAAAGGTGTTCCTTCTATGGATATGCAATTTTGTAAAGAAAACTCCTTTTATTTCTTCTGTGATTTCTGATGCAATGCGTATCAGCAAAGTCTAAAAGCGGAAACGGAACATGGCCCGAAGCCATTCACAGCGGCGACGCCTTCAAGAAATAAGATGATAGATGAGCGGTTCCAGTAATGAAAGGAAAAATCGACACCAAATACTCCGACGTGCAACTTCCAACCTAGACAAATTTCTCCCCGGACACCGTGTATTTATGTTGTCATCTTAAAGGATACATTGCACCAAATAGTTTTCACGTTGCTTAAGCACCAAATAATATAGATATTTATCGCCCAACACAACCTTTGATTTACATTTGAGAAGGAAGCTGAAATTAAAATAAGGTTTAAGATAACGAGTTGTTCGAGCGGGCCCAAATACTTTACAAATTACAGATAATATGATCAGGGCTCTGTTTATCGTAAAGCCCTCAGGTAACTATCTTCTACGGAGAGATTTATTACCCCAAAACACTTAGCGGTTCAATTTGAAATTTTTACAGGAAAGTTTTCAGACTGATTTTTCTCAAGCGCAATAGATTATCTTTCAGGGAACAAGGTGACCAGTATTGAAGGCAGTTATCGGCATGTGTTAAGAAGTCGTTAACTGGCCATTATTGCAATGGCCCAATACACAGTGCATGTACAATCTGCGGTTACTTAAACCTTGCGTTGCGTTCTAGTTCTCGAAAGACCGGTAAAAAGTTGTTAGAGTGCTATTAAAATGCATTTGGAGTCGACATTCTCGTACCCACCTCTCTTGACAACTTGACATCATTTAAAGAACGTATCCTTCTCCTTCATCTGTTTCACACAGACCCACTTGTCTTGGAGTTTACTTATAGAATTTGGTTAGATACAAACACGCGGAACACGGGGGGAAGTACTAAGGGAAGGAGTTCAGCCGTGTGTTATATTCTTTTAATGAACTGCCGCTCCTCCCAAGAATGACCACAACAATAAAATTGTTGGAATAAGTAGTGTCTGCAAGAACATTACTTTTTAAATATTATTACTGAAATACTGATACTAATTCCTACATTAAATTACTGATTGCGAAAAAACATCTCAAAGATACATCATAGTTTACTATCTAAAATAATAATAATCATTTTTTCCTTACACCTATTCATGACTCTTGCTGTAAAAAAAGATTACAAATAATCATAGTAAATGAATATCTTGTTTTCCAATCCTTCGAAGTAAGGGACACGAAGCTTCTCTTGCGCGTACCACACTCTGACGGGGAGAAATATGGGGACTGAAGTCCTCTCAGTATCCTTAGACAGTAATTCAGAAACCTGCGTCCGCCCTTTGCGTTTGACACTTTCCAGTCCACCAATCGAGACAAATGAAGTGTCATTCGATGAGACTCGGTCTCCTAGCTGCTCATTTGATTCTTCTCAACGAGGCAAATGGATTGGCATTGTTTTTAACCAAATCCTTTATGTACACTCTGAAAAAAGCATGCGTTTCGGATATTTCGAGACACCTACTGAAGTGAAATGCTGTGAACTACTGTAATACCTGCCTTTGCACCATGAAGTGAATTTTTCGGTCAATTGTCAAGATTGAAAAGGTTATACAAATTATGTAAGGAAGCATTAACAACGTCTTTCGCATTTTTCTAACTTTTATGATTTTCAAGAATCCATAGATTTGAAGGAAAATTAGACCTGCGCCATTTTTAGGAGTCCTTTGCTTCATCTGTGGAAAACATTTAAAAACTGTTTTTTATTCTAGAAAAAATACAACTCCATTAACTCCAACTCCATAACTGCGTTAATTCCAAATAAATATTAAGCGAAAAGAATGTGTTTAAAAATTGAACATAACCTTAGTTAAATATCATATATTATCACGTTAAAATCATTTTTAATAATTATATTCAAAAAATGTGTGAGAATTAGCAACAGTAGTTTTGTCCCAATTACTATTCACCAAACACATACTAATTTAATATTACGAAGAACTCTGTAGAAAAATAAGTATATCTTATTCTCATATGAAACAAAATCTTTATTTACGCATGTGTAAAGACGCTAACATTATGAGAACATTCTTCCAAGAAACCGCTGCACACGTTCTAGGTGAAAGATTTACCGTATATACAAGGATCCTTTAACCGCATCCCTTCAAAAAATAAGTTTCCCATAATTACAGAACGACCACATCGTGAACAGCACGAATGTAGAAGAACGTGTTAACGACATTGGGTTAACCACGAAAATTCGCACCTAATTCCAAGAAAAAATAATACATACTCAGGAAATCATGCAGAAAAAAAGACGCGGTTCTTTGAAAGTGCACCTTTGATGTTTCATTCCGGTCAGCTTGTTCTTTGCCGAGCTCGTAATAGTTTCTCCGTGACATTTCAAGTGAAATGCCAATTGACAGAAACATGTTAAGAAGAAAGTTCGTTCAACCCCCACCACAACCATTTGGAAAGCTTTCTTCAATCGAAGTTCCCTAAAAAGCAATTAATTTCACTACAAATGAATGCATACCTTTGAATTGGAGAGATATACACAATACTGATAGATGGCTTATGTGCTATATTTAAGTTATTGATATATTTTTTTTGTAATCAAGTATTACTCATTTCAATTATACTAATATATTCTTTAATATTTTTTTTTCAAAACGAAGATAACCATTTTTATAAAGGTATATTAAATTACAGTGATTTTCAATACTTTTGTGAATTGTCAAAAATATTATATTTAAAATTAGAATTAAAATTAAAATTAAAACTACTCTGACATTTAAACATGTATTACATATATTTTTATGAGATATTTTTACCTCGTACCTAAAAGATATTGTACATTCTAAACTAAGTGTTTCGTAGCTCTTTTCATGTACCAAAAATAATAAATTGGACGAAAGACGAAATTTATACGTAATAATGTATTTGCACACAGTCGCAAATATCAATAGGCATTTATTTTTCGATAGTGAAGTAGTAAGGAACTTGTCTGAGACTAAATGCTCTTTTTCCTTCCTCAGAATCGTCTGTGATTAATTGTGCACAGAATTTTCATATTTTAATTTTAGAAACCATTAGTAGCATCAGACGCACTTCTATAAACCTTAGAAAACAGTTTTTTATCTTCTTCTGTTGTGTAAATTGTTTGTTAATCTAGCATAAAAAGTGTGTGAAAATTTCCGTTGCCCAAATTGTTCGCAACCCTAAAGCTTCGATAATCGATTACTCAATGATGCAGTTTATTGTATAGCATATTCCCTTAAAGCAGCAATATTTTTATCATAAGATAAAACATGAATGTGTATTCTAATGCAGTGCAATTAAATATTATTGTTTTATGTGCTTAGTAGCATTTTAATATAAATGGTAAAGAAAAACCACTTATCTTTTTTTGCTAAAGTGATTCAAGCGCCAATTGCTTTGTCAATGCATTATGAGCCAAGTCGCTCAGTTCGTAGTTGAAACATTTCAGCATCATAGTTCGAAACCAAAAAAAATTGTGTTATTAATGTTCATACAATCGTACAATTTGCGCACAGAAAAATGGGACCTAGAAGGTAGGAATCCTCTGAAAATTTTTATATACAAGATCATTGCCACTGAATTCAATCTGTTTATCTATATTCCGAGCAAAAATGTATGCAAAACATGTTAAACATGTATTTGCAAATTTAAAGTCAGTTGGCACTCATGAAGAGAAAACTAATCATCGTACAGAACTGAAGGAACATAATGTTTTTGCCGAAATTTGACGAACAAATGATAAACACAAAGCCAATGAATGTGGAAAAGTTTTGTTAACTCGTGTTCTGCAAAAGAGACTGGGCGAAAATGATCGTGTAGGTGTAAATCTGTTGTGATATGTGATCTATATGAGGTGTGTGTTATTATTGTATGTTAGTAGAATGGGTCAGGATCTCACTTAGTGAAAGAACAAGGTTATTTAAGGAAAGGTGGGGATATTAAGAAATATAGTGAAAAGTGGCTGGGAATGTAAATGATAGTTGTATAGGCATTCAGAGGTAGTCATCTGGATTTATGCAGTAGGGACGTAAATGTGCATGTGCATGTGCGTGTGCGTGTGCGTGTGCGTGTGCGTGTGCGTGTGCGTGTGCGTGTGCGTGCGTGCGTGTGTGTGTGTGTGTGTGTGTGTGTGTGTGTGTGTGTGTGTGTGTGGAAGGAAGGAGCGTGGATGCCAAGTTTATCGGGAGCTTCTGTGACAGTTTTGTTTCAAGTGCCAATCGCTGTTCGAATCATGGAAGGAGAAAATACTTGCCAGAACTCGCCATACGTGCCACAAAAGATCTCATCTGTGATCTACCTTATTACTCATGTATACAGCAGTATTATTTTTTGACCACTCTATTCTCCTGGTTGAGGTCCCGCTGTTTTCCCAGTCACTCTACTCCCAGTTTCGTTTCCCAAACTTTTGCTACAACATTCCTAATCAGATCAGATTCATCACGCGGATCCACGGCTTAGAAACATGTTCGTATCCGATCCACCCACAAAAGGCACATACACATTTTGGTGCACATTTACAGCCATACCCTGCACGGTAAACTGCTGCCGATCTAGGGTCGGCTGTGCTTACTACTAATCTGTATTGTTTTCCTCATCCCTAATGTCTCTTTCTCGAATAGGATCTAGTCCGAATCATTGAGCAAATTTCGACAAATTCTTTTATAAAATGGGACTTATCTGTCATCACGAAAATCTGCTATGGTAGTAGAAACCTGAAGAAGTCTATTTTCTTACATACCTTGCTTTAAATTCCTCTATGAAGTAAGTCATTCTTTCACTTATTACCTGCCATTACAAAATAATTCCACGAGCGCCCTTCGGGACAGTCAGAACACAGAATCCCTAACCAGCCCTTTCAATTCTTCCATAAAGAGACTTGCCAGTTTCTTGTTACGCATCATTAAAAAACCTCTATCCAGAATTGACGTATACACTTCCTCCAATCTTTCCAAGTTCCTTCCTCCTCCGAGGTTTCCATACAATGAGCGGAAGTCCTATCTTCTTCTATTTTTTATTAAGCGTCATTAAACCTTTGGCTACCATGTTCCAGGACCGATAAAGATTTTTTATGTGCATTCTCCAAGCCTCCATATAGTTTCCCAATTCTTCCATAAAGTGACTTTTTATGTCTCTTGTAAGAGTTTGCTCGAGATATCTGTGAATTCGACGACCATTCAAATGCAAGGCTTGGATTACATTTTAACGGTTGTCAAATGCACAGATATCTCGTGCGCATGCGAGTATCCATATAGCTTTCATACACATGTAACTGCACATATACACACTCATCGTGCACACTCAGATGTTTGCCGGATAAGCTTCGCCACACTTTTTTTTATTCCCCTAATCCTTCAAAAAAGTGAATCCTTCCATCTC